CCTGCTTCCTCAGTTCCAGTTTACATGTCTTACACTGGCGAAACCTGTGAACACTTGTGCAGCTGGAACAAGGTAGTCAAGTCATCTTGTTAAAACCTGTCAACTCGAGAAGAGGCTGTCTAGACAGGCCGACACGTCGTTGGGAGGTAGCAAAAGTGCAAAATGCCCCCTCGTCGACAAACTGCGCCTGTCCAGCTTTGACAGTTTTCGTAAGCGGAACGTTCTGAGCCTCACTCCTGCAGATTGGCCTAACGGTACAGCAATGAATTACTGACGAATCCTGTCCTCTTAACATGAGTGGAATAAAATCGTTTTCTGGTGGGGGTTTCGAGTGAACAACTTTACCGGAAAGGAGCTGGCGAATGGCAATACCTTTCGCTGGAGTTTGGGCACAGAACTCGTGCTTCCTACCAATTGTGCTTTTCACTACACCATCGCAACCATTTGTTGCCTTCCCAGCTTCAAACCTCATCAAACTGTTTAATTCATTTCAAAATTGTTTTAGTTGCCACGACTACAGTCGTTCCACAGCAGCCGACATGTAAAGCAACAGAAGGATGCTACAACGAAAACGTATGCTGCGCGTATTGGAGTTTGCTTCGGTGAATGCCGTAAAACGCCTGCTTGGATGGCCTGCAATTGCAGAGTTTCATGCGGTCACTGTACTCCTTTGGATTACCCATATGGATGTGAGTTATTTTTTTCATATAGTTCATATATGGGAAGATTTTTTTGACTACTGATCACTGTCAAATAAGGGGGAAATCATGTGGTGGCCCCGAGTCCAAAATCGCATGAATCCTGGAAACGTCAGTCCGTATGGAAGAGCAGGATAGAGCTTATTTCCAGGAATAAGCTGAACAAAAAAGTAAGTGAAGCGATGGAAGCGAAGCGATTCGTCTAGGCATATTTCGCAATTGCGAGCCATGGGCTTCGGGTTGAGCACCAAAATCTATGAGTTCAGCTAGCTAGCTAAAAAAAAACAGAAAATCGCTGGAAAGGCTCCAAATAAGCCCCTCTCCGTTGTCATTGGTTTGAATTATAATAGGCAAGACTTCGTGGGGATTCTTGGCAGGGATCAGACTTGAGTACTAGGCGAAAGAGTACTTGGAAAAGCAAGACGATACTTGCGCTGGGTTGAGCTACTTGGGGAACCTTGCGCCTCTCTACGCTCCCTACCTCGCAGTTTTTTTTACTCGATGGAGATAGTGGGATCAATGTGAGTAGTCCAGGAAATGTGTATGAAGGTTTCGACATAATTCGACCCTACGGAGCATGCACGGACTATTCGGCCCTACCACTGCGCTCCTTCCACGCCCTTATCCAAGTGTTGAACGAATATTCTTTGGTGTCCATCTGATCTACTTTGCAAGTCCTACTAGTTTCTAGAATCTGCAGCTATTTCAGCTTGCTTTGATTATCATCGTGATTGCTCTGGATGGGCTCGACAGGGTGAATGCGAGAAGAACCCGTGGATGTCGGAAAATTGCCGTGCGTCGTGCAGAACATGTTACTCACAATGGGATCTCAGAAGGATGTGTCGTGGTGCTGTTGGTAAGTTTGAATGGTTTCATGAGGAATACACCACACGAAAAACTGATAATTCAGGTACCGTGGCGCCAGTTGCAACAAATCGTCCGCAATCAATCGCCCGCCTCCTGCCTGGCAACCAAGCTTTCAAGGTGGTGGAGGTGGTGGATTCGGGTTCGAAGACTTTAGCGGTGGCATGGGAGGTCTCATGGATTGGGGAAATGGAGGCGGAGGAGGTGGATTCGGAAATGGATGGGGTGGACCGCCACCAATGTTCCGACAACCACTCCCGACGTTTACGTGGTTCCGAAGAAGGGCAAAAAGGGATTGATGTGGTTACTCTTGAATTTGTGTCAAACACGGTTAGCTATGAAAGGGTTTTTAGATGTTGCGCTTTGTTGCTTATCATTTTTACTCATTTACTCATTGCCGTTCTAAAGCCTTATGAGAGTGGCTCAATGAGCCGCAAAGTGCATTTGCTTTGATGTTGCCTTCTGATTTTGATTCGATTATTTTTTTTCACCAATAAATATGTTCGCATTTGAACTTTTGCTGTAAGGCACAGTGGACCAGCAATTGCGGGAAAGCCAACTCAAATAGGGACAAAAAAAAAAAGTGACTAAGTACTCGATGATTAGCGGAGACAGCAGCAGTAAGCCGTCGCGACATGTTACAGAGATAAGATAAATAGTGGTAATAGCTAGTGCTAGCAGCGTGAGGTTGTCGCATGGGCCTAAAAGGAGGTGTCGCATAAGGGCTAATTGGCGGACATGCTTCTAAGCGGAGTTCTTGCCGTTTTTCACATTTTGAAAGTAGCGCGCCTCAAAAATCGCCTTCCGGGTCGTCCGACACATTTGAGAGGTCATCGCCTTATTTTTTTGGGGAATGTGGGCCTTTAACATTCATGAATGCTCAGGTTAAAATAAGGTGAAGTCTGTTAATCTCGAACATAAACCATGAAGAGAGGCGCCAAAAATTTTGACTGAAAAAAATCCAAAATCCGAAGAATTCCAAAGTTTCGGCAAAATTTTATATAGTTTTTTATTTCTTCTTCGATATTTCGGTGCTAGCACCTTTCAGCGATCTGGATACTGCAACTAGCCTGACCCTAATGAAAGATGGCCACTGCTCACTGGTTTATGTGCCATCAATTGCGAGATTGGACCATGTCACTGGAGTGCTCCCTCAGTCGAGATGCCTAATCTCTCTTGCCAGAGCCGCCATTGAATTGCTTGATGATATTTAAGAACTCCTGATTACCATGCATGGATACAAGCTCTTTATCATACTTGAAGACAGAACGCTGTGCACGTCGACTGACGGGTCTTGCCATGTATGAAGACAATGGGTTCGCATCTGCAGAGTAGCGTGCCACTACCCCCGCTTAAAAGTGCATAGGGACGGGCTGTATGATAGTGATACCCGTGTGCCATCTGCTTACGCCGTCCGCACTTTCTCAAGGTGTGGCACTTGCGCCGATACCAAGGTCCACCAGTGAAACACTCTCTGAGCAGCCAGAGAGAGCGCTTGTAAGAAGCTGCTTGGCTATGGCCATGCAGAAGCGCGCAGAGTCTATGGGCATCGGGCATCACTGGCATCTAGCCCGTTCCCGTGCGGCTTTGAACCCGGATGAGTGGACTGCTGCTGCAGTGCAGACCCATTTTTCATATCCTGACAGGGACCAAGAATCTTAGAGAGGGGGGGTGTGGATACAATTTACGTCGTCAAAAAATCTTGGAATCTAAAAGTGGGCGCGGCTAAGGGGCGCAGCATAACTTGAATACTCAAAAGGTCGCAAATTTTTGTGTAAATCATATCTGTCAAAGTATCGCTAAACTCCTGCCGCGGTCTGAAGCAAAGTGGCGAAATTTTCAATAAATCCATTAATAAGTGGGCGGAGTCGTCAGGGGCAATCAACTGTACTGCATAGTTATAGTACTGGCAAGGGTCTATCAAAATAGATGAAAAATGTATAAAAATCACTATAACATCTATGTATTGTGTATTATGTGTCTAACATACATATAAATTGTGTCGCGACAAAAAGGGGCGGAGTTATCTGGGGCGGGCATGTAATGTAGATGTAATATAGTGTAGTGTGTGTAGAAAATGTGTGTGAAGGGCTTTTCGCGTAAAATCTTCAAAAAGAGCCACTTCATACGAAATTTATAAGTGTCGCGACACAATTTACAGTGTAGTACAACAACGCTTTTTGTAAGAACCAACGAAATAGCCAAGTGTATACGGAAAACCACTTTCCACCTCTGAACACGACACGTTTTACCTCAAAGAACCATTTTGAAGCTGCCTTGGTGAGACTCTCACAGAAGTAGGTCCACAAGGGTCACATCCACCCCAGATACAGCAATGTGTCCGTGGTCAACGTACAACATCTGCAAGCTGTCATAAGGGATTTTGGCGCCATTTCGATAAAGGACCATGGCTCAGTACATTACGCGGTGGGAAATGCCACGGCGTCGAATAACGTCTAGTGGGACGAGGAATGAGTATCTTACGACGAGTACCTCCTCGACGCCATTTTTCCGGGTTTTCTAGATCCTGGACGGCCTTAAGTACCGGAAAAATGACTTTCGCCTAAGTATAAGGGAACGAGTTTATTATGGTCAGGCGTGAGCTAGCCAACTTGTTTATGCGATAGGATTCGAATAGTGTTTTAGAAGAGCACAGAGAAAGAGGAGTGTAGCCTTCTGTTCTCCTACATCTCATACCCTCTCAAAACACTGAAGCTGGCGCCACATACACGACTGTGGCTGCGTTTCTATGCAGCAACGTAGCGCTATGGCAATGGTAGCCGTCGCAGCGTGTCGACAGGCATCATCGCGAAGTCAGAGTGCTGCTTCAAAGGAAGATAAACACTAGAAATGCATTTGGAGATTCAAATTCGGCACCGCTCTCGAATTGCCGGCACGAGACCAAGGGTCCAGAGAGCTCGTCCAAGCGGTGGCAAACTCGTACGCTGTCAGCTGAGCAAGGCTCTTTGGAGTGAGCTTCACTACTCTTTTCAGCAGTTCTCCTAAAAACTGTGAACTGTGCCACTAATGTCGCACCTCAAATTTGAACCCGTAAATCTAAATAATACCC